ACTTATAAAAAATCTAAAATAATGAGTGTAGATCCTATCTTGATGAGGGAAAAAGTGATATTACTATTGTACTAAATTTTATATAAATAGAAGAAGCATTTATTGTAGAAGGTTGCCAGCCTTGTTTACAATTCATTTGAGTGAATATAACTCTAATCGAGAAATCACCACCCGATTTATTCCCCTTTGTACTCTTCTCTCATTATCTAAGTCTTGGGTGTGATTCACAGACATTTTTGGATTTAACAAAACCATTTGACAATTTCATCTTTTGTCATGAGTATAATTAAATGGTATCATTTTGTAGCTAACTTCTTGGTTAAAATACTCCGATCATAATTATAATTTTTTTTATAGTGTCATTTGCTAACAAAATCACTTGGTTGGTGGACATGTAACTTTTCTTTACTAGCATAAAATTTTGGAGGGATTATAGAGGTACACTTGATAATAACTTGGCTCTTTATGAGATAAAGTTAAAATAAATTTATCATCCTGAAAAATTGTTGTGGCGATAGATTGATAATTGGATTAAGCTTTACGGTATCTTTTATTTGAAAGTTTTAAATTTAATAATTCTTTTTGTTTTTTTCATATTTTCATAGGGATTTAAGGCCAAAGTAATTTACATTTGAGTTTAATGATAATAATAAACGTTTTCTCTAATTAAAATATATTTCAGCACAATCATCATCAAGCAGTGACAAAGTATTGACATTTGTAATTTGAGAGATTAATTTTTAGAATAATTTGATTAAAATTTTATCATCAATACAACCATCATTGATGCGTTTGAATGATTTCATCATATTGCTTTGGACTTTGCCAACTGTATTTGCTTGCCTGTAGAGGATTGGAGCTGTAATGTACATTTGATTGAATTTATTTTGAAAATTCATCATGTATAGGCTTTGTCAGCTCTAGCTTTATATGCAAATAATCAGGTTTGTTGGCTGAACTCCTTTTTGTCTTTTACGATCGTAACAACACTAAGGGTCTGTTTGGGGCAGCTGCAACTTATTGAATAATCTGATGATAAGCTGATTAAAAATAATCTGTTGATAAGCTAGGTGCGGTGGTTATTATAAATTTTTATTTTTTGGAAAAGACAAACTGCCGCCAAAAAGCTGCCACCGCACCTAGATAGGTGTGGCGTGAAAACGCGGTTTTCAGCATTTTGAAAATGCATAAGCTGCCAAAACGCAGTTTACCCAAACAGGTCATGTGCATTTTCAAAACACCACCGCACCGGGTCATGTGTATTTTCAAAACACCATCGCACCAAATAAGCTGCCCCAAACGGGCCCTAAGAGTTTATATTTTGAAATGATTTTTTGTTAAGACCTTGAATGACCTATGTAAATAGATGACAAAATAACCTTTGTAAATCTTGATGGTGAGCATTTAATTATTGGCCCTTTATGTAAGATAGGCATGTTAAACTGAGAATGAGTTTAAATATCATTTTTTTGAATACAACTCTTGTCAACATCAATACTTGTGATGTTAAAAGTTGAACTTGTGACCTACATGAGAATGCCAGCCGTATGACCAATATGAGTTTTACTCTCTCTAAATAGAGTTTATACATTTGATATATTTGCAATTCTTTCCAAATAATCACACTTTTTTTGAAGTGAGACAGTTTCGGTTTATTTTGTGCTAGTCTACACATACTTTCAAACTTTCAATTTGAGCATTTAACCCATTAGCCGGTGCACATCGGGGCTTTTTTGTTTTTGGAGATTTGATATGTCGTGCATGCCTTTTTGAAAAACACATTGGTCCATGCTGCACGACAATTGTTTACTTTCGTTTTATTTCAACAGGTTTCAGTTTCATCCATTTGAAAGCACAACCATTTGAGAGGTGTGGGGTCTTACTGTGGCGATTGTTCAATTTGCTATGATCAAGATGAGTGTATGACTAGGTTTTGAGTCTATTATTGATCGCACGTTGTCAACTTTCTAGAGTATGTTTGCAATTTCAATTGTAATTATTGCAAGCTACGATTTATTTTGTATTTTCAAAGAGTTATGATTTATTTGTGGATGGCTTTTATTTTACTCAGGTGGCTCTACAAAAAATTCTTCTTCTATCACTCAATAGCTTTCCATCTTAGTTTTCATTTTGTATCATGCTTTGATTCTTTTTCATTTCTTTTGTTATAACTTGTATATTATTTTAAATGTTCATTTAAGATTATTTTTCATGTTTCTTTTTATATTAGTTGTGTTTTATATCCATAAAGTCACTTCTATTATTTATGTTTCAAGTCCCATTCTTGAAATTTTGGTAGACTTCAGGCATCTATTTTACATAACAGGGCTTCTATATAGAGTTTGGGCTTACTCACCACACTAAAAAAAGTGTGTATGCGTGGCACTTAAAAAATCATGTCCTCTAAGTTCGTACCTGCATGAAAGTTTGCAAAAAGAATTTTCTCATCGCATAAAAAAATATGTGCGAGTACTATTTGGCAACATAGATCTGTTACTCCCATCACATCAAAAAAGGCACAAATGGGTTTCTCTTCTATACCTTGAAAAAGGTGTGTATGTGTATTCATTTGCATGAGAAAATTATGCAAGTAATATAAAAACACTCCATTGCTTCAGGATGGTTTCTTGTGGGTACCTAGATGCTAGGGCGAGTGACGTGCTTTTGCGCGCACAACATGTTGTAAGTACAAGGCATTGGAGTATGCAAAATTTTTGTATTTTCTTTTCTTTCTTTTATCTCTCATTTTTTTCTTTTTTTTCCTTCTCCTTTTCTTCTTTTTTCTTCACTTCTATTTTTTGTATTCTCTATTTAGAGAGAGAAATGAAGAGATTTAGTTAGTGATAGAAAGGGTGAGAGAGCGAGTAAAAGAGAGTTAAGGGGAGATGGAGGGGGTCGGGCAGTCTGGCAATAGCAGTTAAATAGGATTAACTTAAACTCTACTAAATAGAAAAAATATAACTTTATATCACACTGAATCAAATCCCATTTCTCCGATGTGAAGCCTTAAATCTTAGAGCCATGTGAACATTTATTGTTTTTCATATGCCACTGGTTTTGACGATAACTCCTACGACGAGCTTTATGTGACTTTCACTTATTCACTTGACACTAGACTAGTCAATCCCTTCCTTAGCAAGTGTGCTTTCCTACTTCTTCGCACGACACTATGCTCGATAAAGCCTACTTTCAATGTGCTTTGATTCAACTTCCTGCTTTTCACTCATTGTTAGGCTTCAGTATGCCTTCTCTAGGGAGCTCCAGTGTGATTCCCAAAGTTCTTTGTCATTGAGGGTTATGAGTTATAGCAGAAGGGAGAAAGTGAGATAATGGGGGATACGGAGAGAGGGAGTTGTTGAGAAATGGCTTGAGAGTGATGTGGAGTGTTTTTATTTTTTATTATTTTTTTTCTTTTTGTAAGGATAGCCTAATGTTCAGCTCTTATGTGAGGTGCAGGTAAGTTATATTTTTAATAATTATTATTTTATATTTTTGAAAAGTGGAACAAGGTTGAGTAAGATTAACCTTATTGAACTCATCACACCATAAGTTTGTGCAGCAAGCAACCTTTCTACTTGCTTTTCCAATTATTTTTGTGTTTATGCCAATGACTGGGATTCCACGTAGCTTGCTCTTTTTTTAGTGGTTTGCTTCTACTTATTCAAGCATGGCTCGACCAGAGCTCTTTCAGTTGTCTACCTTTCATAGCTTCTCTAGTAGGATTTTGAGGTGATGGAAATCTTTAATTTTATGATTATGGCCTTTACAGTAGTGGTAGGCCCTAATTTCCAATGGAACTTCAAGCTTGTTTGGCTACTCTATGCATTCTCTATTTTAAATCTTTGTCGTCATAATTAGTAATAATTGATTTAGGAGGGTGAAACTCAACTTGATCCATATGATGAAGGAATGGAAAAACCCTTAAATCTGATCATTTGTCCCAATCCTTGGAAAAGCCATAGTAGAAGGAGAAACCCAGTATACAAGATCTGCACTTTTCAAACCTTCAGGTCCCATATTTCAAACAGGATCCTTCGGCATTGGATGTTTCTTCGCCTTTGCAACAGCCGAGCGCGCCTTCTTCTTGGCAGCCCGAACGACTAGTATTTTCTCCCTCTCTGCCTAGCAGGAGTTAGAGGCCTTCCAATCGTCCTCGATCATCTCATGAGGATGTCGGGTTGCCACACCTTCTCGACAATATCTAGCTCTAGGTATTGATGAACCGAAAGTTTGGTCCCCTCAACCTTAATCGCCTCGAACTGTATTTTAGTCAGTGCTTTTGCCTTTACTTTTAGGGGAACATCACCAAAAGGAACTGTCTGAATGAACCATTCGTGCGGGGTGGAAGCTAAGAATCTTATCGCTCTTATGAGACTTCTATAAATTTAAAAGTGAGTGGTTTGTTGCTAATGGGACTTAATGAATGAGACAATATTGGCTGGAATGAATTTAAATAACCAGAAGAATGAAAATTTTTTATGGCATCCAAAACCACTTAAAAGGGCATCATGTCCTTAAAACTAATCATGTGTTCATCCAGTTCAATTAGTCCCTTGTATGAGTTGAGGTGAAGGACTTTGATCATTGGAGAAATAGATTCTTCTAAAATCTTGTTGACATATTTTGAAGTAGCCAGTGAAACGACGATTTTGTAGAACTTTAAACTGTCTTACCAGACACTCATTATTGAACTTAACAGTTTATATATTTTATTTTTATTAAACTTAATAGCTGCTAAACATGAATGACTTGTGTTGAGGATAAGTTCTTTGACATGATTTTACTTGTAGGTTATGTTCTTTCCTTTGATTTTACATTTATATCCTATGTCAAATTGGAGATTGTTTAAACATTTTCAAAGATTAGTGCATTTGATATACCACTAATTCTTCCATGTTAGCAGGAACGTTTTGTGAAATTCTTTTGTTCTATGCTTGCTACGTCCTACGAGGTTTTTAGACGAACATGATCTACAGACTATATTCGTTCACTCTTTTCAGATTAGAGAAATCAAGTCCTTATACCTGTACCACAGCCGGCCAGCTTGGTACCAGTTTATAACCTCAGCATTTTGCCACTTTAACTGGTAAAACCTTCAAGCTTTTCAATGTTTATATGTAAAACATTTCTTTATCTGCTTACTTGGAAGTTTGCCTCAACTTCATTTCTCTTAGGCACTGACTTCACCTTAACTTTACAGGAACCACTTATCCAGCAACCTCTTCTTCTTATATATATTTGGTAAGAGCAAATTCTTGTTCTTCATCAGGTTTTATTCTTCATTTACATTCTTTTTGGTTAATTATT